TGATTCATCTCTTCACCTAAGCCTGACTCATCATTAGCTCTAGGAGCCATATTGGTTTTCTCTAGCAACAGCTCAGAAGCATGGGTTTGTTCCTGCAGTCATTTTTTTAAATTATTATTTTATGTCTTTTCTGAGTGTATTTGTGAGCACTGTGTACTGTTCTTGTGTAACTGGAGTTTACTCCCCAGAAGCTTAGCTTCCCCGGTTGCCGTTAGATCCACGGTGACCAGCCCCGTTAGCTTGACGTTAGCATTGAGGTGCTGAGTCTTTATAAGTAAACGGAAGAGCACGCTGCAGCACGAACTGTACACGTGATTTGTCCGAAAATTAACACGAACGCCTTACGAAGGTTCAGTTATTCGGGCGGGTCAGTTCTACGAGAATTAGACCATAATAACCTGGTTGGCTACCAGGCCTGCTAGCTTAGCACAGCCTTAGGCTGCTAACTAGTTTTCAGTTCGACAGCCGGGTGTCGCGGACTCGGACAATTTGTCAACCGACTGACGCAGCGATTCTGTCTTAAAATCCGCTTTTTCCGAAGGGATAAAGCTCCACTCCGGTGGAGCAGATTTAAGCAGCGTTTTTAACACTTAAAATTCTTTTGAAAAAAATAAAAAATTCACTTTTGATTTTAATAATGTCTGAGGAAGAACAACTGTGTTTTCCTTCTGTGGGTAGACAAGTTATTGACGCTGTAACAGCATGTGTAGGTTTTACCAGCATGACTGTTCATGGTTTTGATGACAACCTGCAGAATTGTTCAGTTACTGAGCTGACAAGTATGCTGATAACACACTTGGAAAATTAGCCTAAAGAGGGTGAGAAAGTGAAGCCAGCTGCCCGCACAGAGAACCTGGTGGGATTTGCTGTTCTACTAGCTCATCTCTGGGACAAAGAAGTTACTGCCCATGTGGAAGCACAAGGTGTAATGCGGTCACTTTCTGACCAACAGCAAAACAGAGGAGCCTGTGGTTCTGACTTTGACCAGGAACAACACAGCAAGGAGGAGATGGAAGCTCGGAAAGGGCTGAACAAAGCCCTGACTGAAAATGCAAATTTGTTGCATAACAAGATCCAGATGGAGCTGTAGCGAAATGAATGGCCTCATATTTGTGACCCAAGGGTCACACTTCCCCAGCTAGGTCGAGCTGGGTCAAGCTGTAACTTTTGTTCCACAGATTATCCATCACAGGAGCCGTGCAGTCTGCTAAACACCATCTTTTATCTGTTTGCTGTTCCTCCGCAAGATGAAGGACACTTCAAGATTTTAAAATAATAATTTTAATAAACTCTTTTTACTGTTTATTACAAGCTTTATTATAATCATCATAAATAATCATCATGGTTCATTATAAATGCATTTAATTACTGAAATGACTTATTATTCTTTGGGTTAATAATTATTATTTATGAAAATCAGTAATGTTTGATCAGTAACCAGAAGGTCATTTGCACGTGTACTCATCATGCAGAACTGAATCCAGGGTAAAGTTAACTTGCTCTCACATGTCTTTGCTCCATAACAACAAGCTTTCTGACGCTGAGAGGGCGTGTCCTGAGGTTTTGTTAAAACCAAAATCTCCGCAGCTCAAGTTCAGTTCTTGAACCAAGCAGATACTCTCGTGGCGACGAGTCTCATGAGGACGAGGGTCGGCCGCCTGAAGCCTCCACTAAGCTGTTATGTCACGCCGATAGAATTGCTCCGAATAAACACACTTGTAACCAGCTAACCAAAACTCCTTCAGAGTTATTGATTTTGAGACGCAAAGAGTTTCATCAGTCGTTGTGACCTGGAGACATCTCAGGACCGATTTGAGTTGCACCGAGGTCCTTCTACCAACCTCGTGCCCAGAGGACATCATCTCCACCTGACATCTCGGATCCACCAGAGGGTCTCCTGAACTGGGTGAGGTAGACACTTTCTGACAGATGGCGTCTGTATGCTGTTATCTCTAAGAAACAACTCAGTTAGCTGCAAAACAATATTTTCCACCCAGAACTGTTTCTCCCTCTGAAAGAAATCTTCTGAGATATCATCCACGCATCCAACACACGCCTTCCATTTTAGTTTTCCATTCAGACACAGGTTTGCTTTTAATAACAAGTTTTAATATCAAAGCTGTTACAAATTGTCATTTTTAAATTGTCATTTCAATTGTCATCTTTAAAATTGTTAGTAATGAATTCTTAACTTTTTAAACCTGACTCTTCTTTGAAATGAAACACAGAATGGTGTATATTTGGTTACTGAATAAGCAACGATTCCATTAAGTCTTCTGTTTAATGAATAAACTTTTGCTATTAATTTAAATATCTTAAATTAAAAATTTATCTTTGGATTAAATATAGACCAAGCCCGTTGGCATATGAACTTCTATCGATTATATAAACATCCTAGATATATATATATATGATATATGCTTCATTTGCTAACTTGTTTGATCTTTCGCAGAATTTAAAAAAGCTGATAGCAAACAGCATTAATTCTAGGATGTAGATTGTCTACGCTACAGAGCATCAAGTTGCTACCTTGGAGGATGAGAAATGTGCTTTAAAGGTTGATGCCATTAACTTTGCAGCTCAGGTATGTAACCGAGAAATGGAAATTGAGGTTTTAAAATGACAGATTTCTGCGCTTAAAGGAGAAAGGGGGCCCCCTTTACTCCACCGGTCTCAACCTGATACAGCCCCATCTCAACCTCCTCCAACTCCATCACCTCCTCCACTTCCTTCATTTCCTCCACCTCCAGCTACTGCTCCATCGGCTGCTATTGCTGCTAGTGGGGCTGCACCTGCTGCTGCTGTGGTGGGACTAGCTCCTCAGCTAACCCTGGCTTCTCAGCCAGGCCAGTTTGCTCCACCTCCAGCTAATCCATATGTGCCTGCAGCCCAGCCACACTTTCCAGCTGCACAACGATACCCTCCTGCTGCACCTTCTGGTGCTGCTGCAATGGTTGCGCCAGCTTTCCAGCCAGCCCAACTATGGCTGACATCTACAGGATGTCCCGTAGTGTCAAGAAATTCAACCCTCGACCAGGTAATTCATACCCGGTTGACACATACTTGAGTGACCTCCGGCATCACTTTCAGCGATGTCCGGGAATGACCTTGGAGGACAAGATCTTTTTAATAAGGTTAACCTCTGATGTCGTGGGTTCGCTCATTGATCGCAAGCATCATGCGATCGTAAATGATTACGACAGGCTGGAAACTGCAATTTGGAAAGAGTACACTTATGATGCTAAGGAGGCTGGTGCACGCTTAGCTTTGTCAGTCAAGCAGGGTCGTGCTGAAGACCCACAAGCCTTCTATCTACGTCTTTTTGATGCATACTTTGGTACGGAATGTAAGGATGGGATGGAAGAGGAAAAAGGTTTCAGGGAGATTTTCCTTGAGAATCTACATGCTCAGTATAGCCCATACATTAAAACCACACCCATGGATAAGCTCAGGAGAATGGCGAGTTGTGCCTTCAGGCCGTTTAAAGACTCAAGTAAGATTTCGCACGCTCCTTCGGTTCTGGCGGTGGGGGCAGACCCCTCCACGCTGCGACTCGGAGGGACTGCATCAGGGACTCATAAAAATAATAACCGCAACAATGGGTCTAAACAACAGGCCCAGAAATCTAATAACAACTCCAAGCCAAAAGGCTTTCCAAATAACGAGCCTCAAAGATCAAACAGACCTCGGACCCCTACACCGGCTGGTGGAGGGGACCCTAAGTCACCACGACTCGGACGCGATAAACATCGTGTTTCTTTTAAAGAAAAAGGGGGATCACCATACTCCTTCAGAAAAGTCACCTTAATAAATCTTCTTAAACTTTAAAACTTGTCTCTCTCTCTTTTGACTCTGGGTTATTATGAAGTGTTACCTAATACATGCAATAAAAAGTTCCGATCTTCTGTTTAAAAGTAGTGTTCAAAGATGTATCAAATTGATTGTATGAGTATAAATGTGCTAACCCGGTCCAGAAACGCAACGTCAACAACTGTTGGCCACTGATTGCCTAGAGATTGGAGTTGCTGGTTGTTCCAGAGCTTACACCCTGCTGCCATTTCCTGGTTGAGAGTCTGACAAAAAGTCCAGAGACTGAGCAGAATGGTCAAGATCACTTGGGCTGTTTACTGATCAACTCGCTATCTTCAACTTAAGTTAAGATCACAAGCGGGTTCAGAAAACGGATGGATGGATGGAAGTACCGTGCACTCACGTTTTGTCACAGAGTTGGTGGCGGGCATCTTAGTTTTAGTCTTTATAATGAAAATGCATTTTAGTTTTAGTCAGTTTTAGTCAACAAAGACTTTTATTAGTTTAACAAAAAATTTAACTGAGCAATAGTCTTTAACGAATGAATGTATAGGTCAGACGTGTACTCTGAGCTACTGGAGCGAGTTTCATACCAAAATTATTTATTTGAGGGCGTTGGAACACAATCTTAGCTGCCCCAGATTTTGGCCAGTAAAACAATCATCCCCAGACTGGTGGGATTTTTTTTACTTTATTGATAATCGCTATACTTTAATTTATTGATGCAGGTCATTGCATCATTAAGTAGATTTTCACAAAACAAACGTTTGATTTTCTTTCCTTAACAGTAAACGGAGCATACAGTCTATTCTACACAATATTTAAATAATAATAAAAAATGTGTTTCATTTATTATTTGAGTTATCAGACCTCCAACTTAGTGTCTATTCGGCCAACGTCCACCTACATAAATGCAATCATGTTTATTAAAAAGTAACTCACCTAGACAAGGTGAAGATGACTAAAGTTTATCCCAGTAAGCAGTTAATGTTCTGGGCTTCACTGTGCCATGGGGCTCTGGTCTGTTTACTGGAGCCATCAGGAGACATAACCTGCACTATAGCGTCTTTCTGAGTCACATGACTACCAGCGCATAACACACACACACACACACACACACACACACACACACACACACACACACACACACACACACACACACACACACACACACACACACACACACACACCTGTATCCATGCTGTCCAGATCCAGATGGTGAAGTAAACACGATGAAGCAGTCCCAGCTGATGGATGATCCTGAAGTGGTAGCAGGTTTTCTTTAGCCGTGTTTAGCTAACAGCTGCAATAGAAACAAAGCAGGAGAGCTGATTAACATGATGCTTCAGAACAACGCAGGAGATTAAAGATCCAACGCTTTGGTTCTGATCAGCTGAGGACAGATCCTGTCTGGAAAAGAGGACCTTTGGTCACCAGAGTTCACGGAGTAGAGCTAACCGCTTTTCCTCCAGAGTCACATTCAGATTCGGGGCTTTTCCGTCGGAGAGCGTGAGCAGGATGGATCAGAGAGCGAGCAGCAGTCCTGCATCATGACCAACTCAGATAGAGGGAACCTCTTCAATCTGATGAAAGCAGCAAAACGAGCGCGTTTCTCAGAGAGGCCAAAGGAACAGCAGCAGATCCAGAGGGCAGGAAGTCTAGAGAAAAGCTTTTCTGACCCATCATCTGATCTTGGAGCTTTAGAGTTGGTAAAAACGTGAGGTGCGTTACCGCCACCTACCGGCTGGAGGGTAAACCGCTCCCCCTCTAAACCAGGGCCAGAATGAAAAACTGAGGAAGTCGTGGGTAAAAACCCATCGTAAAACCCCAAAATATGTGAGAAACTGACTGCAGCTTTATTGTTGAACCTTTTCCTTGACCCATTAAACAGGAAATATATTTGAAATAAAACCCAAAGCAGTGGTGTTTGCTTCTTATTGGTTAGGTTGAAGCTGCTCCTAATGTCAGAAAGTTGCAGAAACATCAGAAGGAATCTGACGAACTCAGTGGAACAACTGATGCTGCTTTTGAAACTCGGCTCCTTTTGAGCTGATTCTGCTATTAAAAGGATGGGAAGCTGCGTACATTTCTAATGTTTCTGCTGGTTTCTGTCAGAAATAACACGTGTGTTCACACCAGCAGCTGCAGCTCCTCATCAGTCAGTCTGCTGCTGGAATCTCAGTCACTTGCTGCAGGAGTTTAGACGTTAAAACTGTCACTTTAAATGGAAATGACGCCACACTTCTACTTGATCTGACAGTGACCGTGGTCCTGACAAGCAGGATCAGTTCTGGGACGGACCTTCCAT